ATAAATATTTTTTAATGAATTTAGAATTTATAATTTAATTTTAGAGAATTAATTGATAAATTTGAACGACAAAAATATAGATTATAGATTTAGTATAATATATATTTATATAAAATAAAGATTAGTAATTTTTTTTTTTTATTTTGATAGTTTATACAAAAATAAATCTATATTAATTAATAACAAAACAAGAAAAAATAGTAGTAGAAGAGATGAAATGTAAAAGATGAGAAAAAGAAAATGATAAAAAATGTGTGGAAAAGAAAAAACGAAAAATAATAAAAAATTAGGAAAGTTAGTAATGGAGAGAGAGAAAAAATGATAAAATAATGTGTATTGTTAGGTTGTTAGTGGGATGATGTCATTAGTTAATTTAATTTTAATTTTTTTTAACAAGAGGGAGTTAAATGGAAGAAAGATTAGAGGGGTAGGGAATGCAGTAGATTTTTTTTTTTATGTAGGGACTGATATGGAAGATTGAAAAAGGATTGGGGATTTTTAAAGAAGTGTCCCTTAAAAAAAGGCTGAAGTAAAAATCTATATATATATAATTACTAGCTAATAGTATTTAATAAAACCTATTTAATTTTACCTATGTGGCAATTTAACAATTTTCTCTCCAAAAACCGTTACATTTTGATGTATTTAATATTTCATTTAATCATTAATAATTAATACTCATTACTTCAAAATTATAAAAATTATTTTAAACTTTTGATTAATGACAATTGACCATATCATATAATGTGTTGACAGTATAATGTAATTAGATGTTATTATTGTTGTTACATTTAATTTTATTTTTTGAAAATAAAAAATATATTTGAAATTCCTGAATAAATAATAAATAATTCACAAATAAAAGACGTACCAAAATATACATTACATCCAATCAGATAAACGCAATTTAAAAAAAATATTTCAACTCTTTTATTTATAAATTTGGTCTGCAAAAAAGTGAAAGAAAAATAATTAACCATTGTATGCATACAGACTCACAATAATTTATTTATATATGTGCAAATACACAGGTCGAATACTAGTATAAATAAGTATATAAAATAATTTTAAAAATTAATGCATCCATAAAACAGTTTAAAAATTTAAATTCCGACATGTATCTTTTTATTTTATTTTATTTTAGTTTTTGGCTAAAGGAAAAGGGTTTAGGGGTTCGGGTTTAGAGCATCCACAATGCTTTGGGTCTCTTAATAAAATATTAGATGCCATGTAAGAATTAGACTTAGTCTATAAAAAAGTGTGTTCCAATGCAATTAAAAATAGATTTGGTCTAGCTTAGAGCATCCACAATGCTTTGGGTCTAGTTTTGCAGATGTGGCATATAAAATAGACTTAGTCTAAAATGATATGGACAAAACCCAAGTAAAAGAACCCAAAGTCTCTCCAATGCAAAAATAAAATGCTAGGTCTAAAATACCTATAACCAATAAAAATATAGTAAAATAAATGCGTCTGTTTCATTCCCATCTCCCTTGTCCGTTCAAGTTCCTTTTTCTTCTTCAACCAATTGAGCACGGGAATCGTAACCAGAATCATCGCGTCGTCGTCGGGTGTTATCACTAGGGGCCGTCCGAGTGTCGTCGCTGAGTATCACTTTAAGCTGTCATCGTCGAGCCACGCCACGCAATCACCGAGGTCGTGGGTCTCCAACGACGTCTTCTGTTCAAAATTGGTAGGTATTTCTTCTTTTTTGTTTTTCATGAAATAGTGAAATAGTGGAGTATTTCTGCCAACATCGGTAGAGTATTTCTGCCAACGACATCTCATGTTCTCAATTGAGACTCCCCATATTTGCATTCAATTTTTAATGAGCCCTAGAGATAGTGGAGTCTCAATGAAGATCACTCTGATACAAATAAAGCCAAAATATTGTTATACAAAACTCAACTTCTACCACTGCAATTAAAAAGAATAAATTCATTCATGTTGAGTTTAAATTAGTGATTATATATATCTCTCTCTCTTTTTTTTTTTTTTTGTAGGCAATAAAAGACAAAAGTAATGTCTACATTAAATTATGAATCGGACTCTACTAGCTCATCCTCAAGCGACAACGAGTTTTCGATTACAAGAAAATTACTGGCTGAACCCATGAATGAAGATTGTTCGAATATGCTTCAGGCCACACTTCAGGTTTCTGTTTTATTGGCAAAGGACGCTTTTGGAAATCCAAAGCTTAAAAGACGTTACATTCGACGTGAAAGAAAAGAACGACATGATTTAATAATTAGTGATTACTTTAGCGGCGAGAGATCAAAATATACACCCGAACAATTCCGACGCCGATTCCGAATGGATATAAGCTTGTTTGAACGTATTTTGGGTGAGATTCAAAACTTTGACAATTATTTCACACAAAAGATTGATGCTGTTGGAAATTATGGACTTAGTCCGCTACAAAAAATGACAGCGGCCCTGCGGATGCTTGCATATGGTTGTGCGGCTGATTCACTTGATGAATATGTTCAAATTGGAGAAAGTACTGCGCTTGAGAGTCTAAAACATTTTTGTGATGCTATAATTAAGATTTTTGGAGGGTACTATTTGAGAAAACCAAATGAAAACGATATTGAACTCTTGCTCAAAGAAGGTGAGGCTAGGGGATTTCCTGGTATGCTAGGAAGTTTGGACTGCATGCATTGGCATTGGAAAA